AATGCTGCTCTATAGCAGTTTAAAAAAAGCACCTAGGCTACAAGGCTAAACCGAAATCAAATAATAGATGCTTCAGTTATTTTGCTTTGTGTATCGCCTAAGCCTACATTCCTGACAATCCCTGGTTGGTTACTGTCAGATATCAACACCAGGTTACTGGTCTGGTATTGTCATATCTCCCAGCCCCAGCTGGGGACCCAAAATCTTACTAATAAGGATCAGTAAATTTAGTGGTCCGTATAATTACAAATCAGGGGAAAAGTGGGACTTCCAGTGGGACAGTATACTCATATCTTCCATCCATCCATTTTCTTATTCAGTGTCATGGGGGGGTCCAGAGCCTATTCCCAATGTTACAGGCACTAGGCAGGGAATAACCCAGGATGTGGTACTGACTCGTTGCATGGCACATTCACACCTAGGGGCAATCCGGTAACTTACATGAACCTAAGCATGTTTTTGGATTGTGAGGAGAGACCAGAGAACTTGGGGGAAACCCCATGATGACACAAGGAGAACATGCAAACTCCACACATGTGGAACCCTGGTGGACATGCGAACCCAGGTCCCAGCAGTGTAAGGTGACAGTCCTAACCACTGCGCCACTCCAAGAACGGGCCAGAATAAAATAAAAACAACAGTCTGTTTCTGCCCTAGCGTCAAATCCACAACTAGCCCATCAACAGATGCTTTCTGATGCTAAAGCATTCAAATCTCGGTCACCCACAAAATAAGGCAATGTAATGAAGCTAGTATTTCACTGGGCAAAGATGACCAAAAATATCATTGTAAGATATTTATGAGCCGGCTTTCTGCGAATGGAGAGTTTCTAAAACTTCCGTTTCATTACATTTCGCCGGTTGTATTATTATTTGCGGTTGTTGACAGGGGCTAGTTAAATGCCAATACTGTAGGCTTGTCAGAATCTCTTGTGAGCTTTCGTTCCCAGTCTGTGTGTGTCCGGGGGCGGCGGATGCAGGACAAGGCTCTATAATAGAGTCAATTCTTACAGTGAAATCCTCAAAATGGTCAAGCAAGTTGCATCACAAAAGTCCATCTCATAGCCGCTGTTTCATTGTGGCCAGCAATCAAACATTATAAAAGTTTGGCCATTAGGGAAGATATATGACGCTTAGCAACAATCTCAGTCTCTTCATCAAATAAAAGATCAGAACCATGAAGCACTTCTTAAAAAGAACCTGCACATTTTCCAGGGAAATATGGTCTCCTGTGTTGTGATGATGGCTGGAGGGAGGATGGTCTGTTTCCGTACAGGTGTACTCTGGTTGGCGTGTGAGAAAAGGAGTTGGGTGATGGTCAGTGCTTACACCTCATTTCGCCGCAGTGCGATGATGTCACTACGTACCATGATGCCAGACCAGTTGCAAACGTAACAATGCCATTGATTCCAGTTAACGTTTCCGTGATTGTGACGTCTCTCCTGAACGCCCTGCTGCTGTACCACTGTCTATCCTGCCATCTGAAGCAGCACCAGCACCTGTCCACCCCCCACTTGAGACTCAAATGTTAAAATTGGGCCTGTGTGAATTGGGACCTTGCCATCATGCCCACTTGACTTCCTCTGCCAGCCCCAGGAGGATGGGCTCCCATTTGATTATGGTTCCTTCCAAGGTTTCTTCCTTCTAGGGAGTTTTTCTTTGCCACTGTCGCCTATGACTTGCTCACTGGAGGCTTTGAACGGGGATAATGTAAAGCGCTTTGAGCTAATGTAATGTAAAAATGCGCTATACAAATAAACTTGAATTGAATTGAATCCCCTTTGGATTAAAAAATAACCTGTGGCAGTCGGGGTATGTGATAAAAGACATAATTTGGTATTAAGTTGTCAACACAAGGATACAAGGAAGACACAAGTTTATATAAACTCTCGCTACAACAAGGTCAAATTTTCTTACACTTTGGTTTTACAAGCTGGTATGATCTGTTTATAAAGCTATGCTGCTCCACAGAGGCATAAATCACATGTTGGTATAGTGCTTGTTTCTTTTGTTTGCAGAGTAACAAGAGGAGCAACATAGTGTGGAAAATGTGTAGCTATAGTATTGTTGGAAAAGTAAATTTTATGTAAATGGCATGTACTTACAAAGTAAACAACAACACCAGAAAAAAAGACCTTTAAATATTTAGCAGTAAAAGCAATTGCAGTTCCAGGGTTGTATGGTTTTCGTTTGAGCTTGTCATCACGGTAAACTTGTTATAACATAGACACAGCAAATCTCCCAATTTTTTTATCTATTATTTAATCACTGTAGGACGAAAAGAAGCCCATTAAAATGCATTACCCCAATGCGATCGTAAAGCTTTCTTGCATTCCTTGCAGATTTGGCTTGTCTCGCTTAGATGATTAATCCTTGCTTAGCAGATGCCAACTCCCACTGAAACAATGGGAGATCGGATCAATGCACTGCATCCAGCACTCCGGCCATAATGCACACTTGATTATGCTAAAAATGCACCGCATTTAACATGCGTCTTTGCCTGTGCGATGATGTCTTATGGCGTTGAAAAAGGAATCTATCTGCCCTACGAATTACATAAGCAGTGTGGTTTTTTTTTTTGGTGAAAAAAGTGCATATAGGTATAAGTATAATTATGTTTGCCAGGTTTCTTGTTTCATTACCCCTGACTTGCAAAGAAATACAGGATCATAGCCCCCACCCAAAAAAGTAGCCAGAATGATGGATTAGTGGTGTCCTGGGACCTGATTTAATAACAATGCAAAGCATTGTTACAGAACTGTGCATGCACAACATGTCATAGTTATCCCAGATTTGCATTGAAATGGATGGTTATGTTATTAAGCGCAGAGTGAGTGCCTGATGCTGGATAGCAACTGTACATAAAAATACCCATATTTCATTCGGGGCTTGGAACGAAATATGGGGGGAAATGATTAATTTTCAGGGTTTGAATTTTGAATGAACGAATGACTTGTCCCACCGCACAACTCCCCGTGTTATCACAAAGTATTGCTTTTTCTTTGTGCCGTCACACTACCAGTAATTTATTTAACATTTGATTTGTTATTATTATTATTCATTGTTAATAAAGATCAGGCTCAACTTGGAAAGAGAAATGATCTTTGAAGGGTAGTGGAACATTGATTATGGCTATAATTAAACATATTATTATTAATAATCTGATATCTATAGCAATTCCCCTAGCTTCAAATTTAAGAGTCTAGGGAATATCTTTTGCATAACAAAAAGCTTTCAAGTTGAAGAATCTTAGATAGAATCTGGTTCTTTCCATTAACACCCTGATACGATATCTGGCCGTATTGATACAATTTATATTACATGCATAATGCTATTGTAACAATCTACTATACTGTCTCCAGAATACCCTGAGAAAACCCTGCAATTTCTCACTGTAGCTTTTGCCTAACTGATACCATGCGCCTGACAGGTTAAATCTGAACAACATTTATTTTAATGCTGTTAACTTTTGTGCCAATTATTAAAGGCTGTTTGAGGATCCAGCAACTTTATAATTATGATTTAATCATGTGGAGATTACAGTGTGACACAAAAGTATTAGCAAGGTAACTGAAAGTTTGGAAAGAGTTTATAAAAGTGTTCAATGTGATTTAAAATAATAATAGCACCTCATTCGAATAACAGAGACAACACCTTACTTCTCTGCACCCCTAATAATAAATATGACTTACCCTTCACTCTTCATTGGAACCTCACCAATCATCATCAGCTCATTTTGAGAGGGAATACATTTACATTTATTTATTTACCAGAAGCTTTTGTCCAAAGTGACATACAAGCGAGGATCAGAGAGCAAGGTCAGTCCGTCCCTGGGGCATTTGGGGTTAAGGGCCTTGCTCAAGGGCCCAACTGTGACATCACTCACTAGTGACCTTCCAATAACAGGCACAGAACCACACACCACCCTAACCCTCCGCAGAATTTTTTGGAAGGAGTAGTGATGAGTGTTTAAGTGATTAAATCTGTGATGTACTTAAAGTTTCAAATACACAGTTTGGAACTATATCCCTAGTAGACAGTTTAAGAGATACACTTGATTGTTAATGCAAACAGCCTGCTCTTCTACACAGTGAATCATGTGGTTGCAACAGTATACAGGAACCAGGAAGGGTAACGAGGTTCAATAAGTGTTTTACTAAGCACTGGAATAATTAAGATGCGTGAACATGGACTGATTGTTGGTGCCAGATGTAGCAGTCCCAGGTCCCAGTGGCTAGAGTTTACAGTTTTTTTAATACTGCAATTAAACAAAAAAAAATCCAGTGAGTGGACGTTCTGTGGGTGAAAACACGTTCTTAGTGAGACTCGTTAAAACTGACAGGAAGGCCATATGTGCAAGGAGATCAGATCAGTACAACAGTGATGTGCAGGATCATCTCTGACCAGACGACCCATCTCCCCATAACGTGGGCTTGGTGCTACCTCAGAAGGAGGCCCTTAAGTGTATGCAGCAGATACACTGTAACGATACACAAAAGGAGATAAATGACTGGCAAAATGATCTCCTGGAGCTATCTAGAGAGGTCATCTTTATTAATTTGTAAGAAATCGCATTGATGTTTTTGAAATATGAGGTTTATTTGCTATAATTCTTCTTGATCAAAATAATTTCATAAGGCAAGTTGCTGTAGGCTGTTCTGCTGGAGTAACACAAGTAACATACAAATTACAAAATAAAAATGACTTTCATGTCACTTTTCATGCAGCATGATATATGTTAGGTAATTTTAGCCTCTCTCCAGATGGGCACTATGCTGAGTGAAGAGAGCAGAACCCTGGTAATGCATAAATGACATCGTGCCTGTACCCCAAAAAAAAAAAAAGAAAAAAAAACACTTAACTACAAGGGCATTCTGATTAACGCAACATGCTAACACGCTTGATGTAGTAAACCAGTCACATGGTACAGGAATGTAGGAAAGTGGGCCCTGAGTGTGTGCCTACCCTGCCCTGACCCGCGTCCTGCCTTCCCCACCTCAGGTCCCTGGCTCTGGGGCAGCAGTACTCCTCCCTGGGCTCCCAGCCCATCCTGTGTGGCACCATCCCTGGCCTGGTGCCCAAGCAGCTACGCTTCTGCCGCAACTACATCGAGATCATGCCCAGTGTGGCTGAGGGAGTCAAGCTGGGCATCCAGGAGTGCCAGCACCAGTTCCGGGGCCGCCGCTGGAACTGCACTACCATCGAGGACAACCTGGCCATATTCGGCCCAGTGCTGGACAAAGGTATGATCCTCACACACACACATCTACAGGCGGAGTTTGGGAAGCTCTGTGTTGAGTGATTACATAAAAGGTAGCAAGGAAAAGACAGAATTTGGCCACTTCATCCACAGGTTAATTATCTGACCCAATTAGTGTTTTTTTTCTCCCTTACACCCATGTTGTAGCAACTACAGATGAAACGATAAATATGCAGATACCCCAGGGCCCAGGACAGGGGAACTGTAGTTTAAACCATTATAGTATCATCCCGCGAAATCTGTCATTCCCGATCAATGTCAAATCGACCTGTGAGTCAGTGCCAACATGGCCGGTTCTAGCTGTACACAGAATAGGCAGTTGCAGAGGGCCGCACATTGTCTGCATTGTGGAGGAAGTGAAATCATCGATTTTCTTGGTATGGGGGCCTCCCAAGCTTTGCCTAGGGGCCCCGAAAAGGTAGAACTGGCCCCAAGCACTGAACACGAAAAGTTACAGCTTCATGGAAAAAAAAACGTTTTTGAGTCATCAGTGGCTGAATATGTCTTTTGATATTAGAGAGTAGTACAGACGCTCCTCTACTTATGAACTTTGAACTTACGAACTTTCAGACATACGAACGAAGAGGACTGTAAGTCCAAATTGTGTTAGTTGGGCTCC